CGTATCCACAACCGGCTTGCAGTGCGAGTTGCCTCGTCAGATCCCCAACATCCCTTGCGACTGCGCTGGAAATCTCCGAGAATGGCTTGGATTCGGCACAGAATTTCCCCAGAACTATCAGTAAACACGACTTCACCTCCCTGGACACCAAAAAGAGACGAAATACTCGCAGCAATTGGAGCAGTTGGTCGTGAAGCAGGGCTCCAAGTCTTCACCCAATGGCATTCCTCAGCACCGTCCTGGACCTCTTCGTTTTCTCAGACGGAGCTCTGATGGAAGGCTCAGCAGGGGCAGGGTACTGCATTTATCGCGGCGCAAAACATGTGATTGATCAAGGCTCTGTTCCTCTGGGTCAATCAGCAGAAGTCGTCGGGGCCATGGAAGGCCTCGCAGCTGCAATTAGAAACCCAATGGCATACTACGCCACCAATATCACTGTCTGTCTCGACAACCAAGAGGCAGCGTCTCGCTTACTCCTTGGACCGCCGACCCCATCCAGCTCGACTCGGATCGCAAAATTTCGGGATCTCGCAAGATCCTGGCCTTCAAGGAACCGTGCCAGATACACTGAGCCAGGAAGGGTCTCTGTACGCTGGTGCCCAGCGCATTCAGGAATCCCTGGAAATGAAAAGGCAGATGCTCTCGCCAAAGCGGCCTGTACTATAACCGCCCCCAACCTGGCCCCTTCCATTGCCAGAGCAAGGAGAATTGTCACTCTTCGCTACGAGGCCTCTGCATCGGAATACTGGTCGCGAAATGCCCCTGACCGGTATAGAGCGCTCAGAATCGGGCCAAGCTCCCGCATCACTCCAGAGCTCGCTAGTATGGATCGTCGGTCCCTCAGCCTTCTTCTCGCTGCGCGGTCGGGCCATGGTGATTTTGCAGCATACCACCGTCGTTTCGCACACAACAGCGCACCTTTAACATGCTCCTGTGGACATGATAAATCGCCGGAGCATTTCATGACCTGTCAACATGGCCTACTACAGGCGCGGCTTCGTGGAGCCAATCGCCCCCGTCCCCCAGACGCTCGCTGGATTTTAAGCTCACCAGAAGGAGCTATCTTGATCCGAGACTGGCTTAAGTCCACTCTATTTTTTCGAAGAGTTTCAAAGGTACCATTAAGGGGGGAAGCTCTGTTTGCACCTACATTTGTAGGACAGCCCTGATTACTTAGACATCAACGCTATCTAAATACGAATATCCACATGTAGTTTAAGTTCCGCTTTTAATTATATAATTTATATCAATTTAAGAACAGTCTCACTGATCTGGCGACTATGCGGACCGGGAGCAGTGGGGTCTTTATCGGGTTTTTGTTATGGGAATGCCGGTGCGTCGGGTAGCCCTTTGTAGGCTGAGCTAACCGGCATGGGGCTTTAAAGCACTGTTTTTGTTTTGTTTTGTTTATTTTGTCCTAAGCTAAAGCTATGTTTTCCACATTGGGTCAAGGACAGGCGGAGCCGGCAGGGTTCCCTGTAATCTTTCCTACAGCCTAACTCGTTCCAACCTCGTGAATCGCTGCCAAAAGTGCAGCTGATTAAACAGAAACGAAAAATCAAGAAAATCAAAACAACTCCGAAAAATCCAGAAGATTCCTCCATGTTGGACCCAGTCAATGTGCTCCTCACACATTCCCTCGTCCGTCACACCTTCCAAATGACAAATTTACTTAATCTCCGCTGAGAGCAGTAGATGAGTTAGCAGGCACCTTTATTCCAGCCGGTATCCTGCTAATTGTTAGTGGATGCCCCAGAAGGGGACATCGTCGAGGTTGCTGTGTCCTCAAACTTCTTCTTCAGATCCCAGCACTCCGAAACCTGTTGCCTCAGCCATTGCGACATCCTTCGCCGCGGCGACGATCGCCTCTTCGGCCTTTTTGGCTGCAGCCCTAGCTCGAGCCGCCTCCGCGAGCTTCCCTTGCTCGAGCTGGCGTATCCATGCGAGCTGCTCCTTTGTCACCGGTCCAGACTTTCTGGGTCTGACTTTGCAGTCCCGAGAATCCGATCGGTGGGGTCCCCCACAGTTGCGACACTTAGTGAAGGCCTTGCACTCGGCTTCCGAGTGCATGTTGGAGCCGCAGTTCCAGCAGGCTGGAGCGCGGGAGCAACCAGGGGTGGCGTGGAAGCCCAAACAGCGTTTACACTGTTCAATTTGGCGACGAGGCTTGTGAATGGTTGCCATACCAGGCTCGTCGAAGATGCGGAAGCCCGCACGAGGGGCGTTCTCCCGCGTGAAAAGGGCATGCCAGTTCTGATACGGTGCCCCAGGTCGACATGTCCCATGAGGTCGGACCTGGATTGGTATTGCGCCGGTCGTACCGAGAATCTTGGCAGAGACCCAGCTAGCATCGACTGCCCTGGTACCGCACACTGTAACTATACTTACAGGTACGTTCGGTATCTGTAAGGCGACAAGATCCGAAGATGCCTCGAGTTTGACGTTATGACTCGCAAGCTTCGAAGAGCCATCTAAAGTCTCTTGTCGTGTTTTTCCGTTCTTTGCTAGCATAGCAAAGCCCGTCCTCACTCGGTGGAGTGAGGTTATTTCTTGGTTAAAGTAGCTGAATGTATACTCTAACTTAGTTCTCACGCTGCTTGTGGACAATTTTCGCCACGGGTGGTCCTTTTCAAGGCGAAGGAACAGTCGCTTATCGACTTTCGCCTTGGGGTTTTCTTTTTGTTGGGCTTTGGCCGCAGGTCGCGGCACAGCCTTCACAGTTGGGCCTGCTTTTTGTTGCAGTCCGTGTCTGGCCACCGTGGCCCAGGTGCTTTTGACAGGCAGAGCTGGGACAGTGGGTATTGTTTGTCTCCTGGCTTCGGGAGCCCTTGGGAGAGGGTTTGTCGGGCGAGGAGGGAGGACGGGTGGCGTAGTGGCCGGGCCCGTGGCCATGTATTGCGCAATGGCTGCGTGTAGGTAGACTCTCATGGAGTCTACGAATTGTCTATTTGACCCGTTGGTCAAAGGGAGGAGGGTGGCTTCGACGCCAGAGATGGCGGCGGAGCAGAGGGCCAGATTTGCCGCTGTTTCGGCGGCACGTCGTTGCTCGGCTTCGATAATGGGTCGAAGTTCCGGAGGGCAATCTACTTTCGTAGCAGCTTTGGGCTACGACGTTGATTTTGACGCTGCTATGGGTGCAGCGTTTTCCGACGGTTCTGACACGGTCGGAGGTGGTTTGGATGATTCTCCAATCCCGTGGGGGACGGAGGGTGGTTGAGGAATTTCCCCAACAATTTCGACTGACCCGATCATGTCAGTATCGGGTTCTGCGACGGCGGGGAGGGCTTTTTCCTTCCCTTTGATGGAGACCTTGCTCATCTCCGCGCATTTCGGAGACTGGGCAAGGCCAGATACTTGCTCGAGAGCCCTCGGGTGGACTCTTGTGTTGTCCAACTTGGCGTTGGGACGCTTTTTTCGAACAGGTGGCATGGTGAAAATGCCAGTGACTCGATCACAATTTTTTGATAGAATCCGACGAGCGCGTGAGGGAGGGAGACGGGAAAAAGGTGAAGATTCGAAAATTCGAATTTCAAAAAAATTGGTTGTGTTGTGATCTGGCACGACGTTAATATAAATAAATAAATATTTTATTAATGTGCGTGTATTTACAGTAGATTAATGATTTTTCGTGAATACTAAAAGTTGAATCAGGGCTTGACCCTCAATTTCTGTGAGAATATCGACAGTCATATATGAAGTAAAGTTTATGAGATGTAATTTGAGTCTTTCATGTAGATCTACAAAGTCCCCCATAGTCTGAAACAGCAGGGACTTCAATAAAATCTGTGAGCGGATGCATTCCTAAGTTTAATCAAATCCAGTTGTACGTTCTTGTGACATGATGAAAATGGAGTCGGGGCCTGAGAGTAATTAAGGCTTTCTACTGGATCTAGGTGTCAATAGATGAAGGGAGGGCGCTTTTTCTGGCAGCACGCAGGCAGAGAATCTGTGTGATCCAACTTCCATAAGTGAGTGAGTACTTTGAGCTTCTGCAATGTTTGCGAATCTAACCTGGAGTATCGATCATTCAGGGCAGCTGCTGGTCAACGTAGTAAACCCACAGTCTGAACTTCGAGTAAAGAAATGGGGCGTGCAACTCCGGGGAGGGCGAGTGTGCAAATGCTTCTCGTTCCGCTTTCGCAAGGGGCACAGCGCGTCTACTTCTATGGCTCTTGCTCCATTGAAGATCCGGTAGATAACAGGTGGTGTTAGTTAGGTTCCATTCGCCACTAGACATACATGCTTATCCCCGGGCTCGCATGCGGGGCGGGAGATGACCCCGCATAGCTCGGCCCCACCAGTGTCGCGTTCCTAAAAAGATGATACGACATACTGTTGTATGATTGAGTAGGCTACTACTTATTCGAAACGATGGGTGCTAAGGTCAAACTCACCCGTTGATCCACGACATGATTCTGGATAGCTTGGACACTTATCTTAGTTAAAGCGGGAGATCGCTAGTTCCAATATAGTAAGGCTCCGTCACATCTCTCGCGGTGCTTGTGTGCACGTATGACGAAGGCAAGCCCGGGTAACCAAATGTTTTGAATTTCTATTTGGTGGGTACTTATGGAGGAGGGTCGACTTTTCTACATGAGCAAACGTACCCTGAAGTGGTATTTGCGAATAAAATACAGAGTAAGAGTGCTTCTCAACTCGAAAGAATAATCCAGCATGCACCAAAAGCACTGTTCTTGTGTCAAAGCTACATAGTTGCATACACAATAATTAAATAATAAACAACCACATCCCGGTGATCCATAGATATATCTTCCTAGCCCCTAGTCCCAACATCGGCCTATCCCATCCGTGCTATTTTTACCTCGCTTAATGTTCGACAGCGATTACGCAGAATATGGAAAACAAATTTTTTAACTGTCTGATTATATCTCATAACGATGCACGATGTCCCTCACAGTTAATCCTGCAAAACAATCTCCGCGAAGTCTTGCGCACCCTTCTCGTACGAATCAATGACGGGATAAAAGAAGTGTTCCGTTATGAGCAGCGGGAACACTTCTGGATACAACATGCTACAACCTAGACAAAGTCAGACTATCAAGCCAAAATTTCGTAACTCAAGCCAAAACGGAACCGGGGTAGAAATTGATGAAAATTTAACCATAAATTCTGATCCAAACGGCTACAATATCGATAATACTGCCGGTAGTCGAACAAGTTATCGGGAGCCAAGTAGTAAGGTCATTTTAGAGGGGTATAGAAGAGAAATCACAAGCAGTATGGAGGAAGCAAATGCTGCTCCAAAACTGGTGAGATATGAAAGTTGACATAAGCAGCTCAGCTTTGCTGATAACTACTCCGAAGCAACAGAGCGAAGAGAAACGACATGTTAATGATCCCATCCAAATTCACCTACTGTCAGAGACTGCACTTAGCGATAGCAAGGAATATAAAATTTTAACACAGGAAGAAGTTGAAATCCAAAAAAAATTGAGTCAATCAATTACTTATCGCATTGAGCAGACGAAGCAAAACCTTGCGATTCAATGTAAATATCGTGATGCAACTAAAACAATAAGCAAATTATACTCTCCAACCTCTCTTGATGGCAAACAACGAAGAAGTACAGCTCGAAGTAATCAAAATTTCATGGCTTCAACACAAGAGGCGGATCAAGAAATATTACAGAGCGAGAAAAAGTGTGAAGAGTTGGCGGCAGAACTTTTTCGTCTGGAAAAACAACTCTCGGTTTCTCAGACAGCACTTTTAAAGCATACAGCAGGAATATTACAATTGACCCACAAGAGTTCTCAACCATTATCAGCAGAGCTTGATGGTGCTAACGACGATTATACATATTCCAATCCAAAAAACGGCACTGGAACCCTAAAAGATGACTTTTTATTTGATGAGAGAAGTTTGTATAGAGAGTTGGGAATGCTTAACGATAGAGACAGCTCGCTCATTAATTCAGATGCCCAAGCAGCGAAATTCAGTGAGATAACAACCAAACTAGGCAAACTTTATGAGAAGTTAAGAAATACTATCATTGAGATTGATCCTGAGCGAGAAAACAGTCTTAGCAGTTCTAACAGCATAGTCACTGATGATAAATCTAATGAAATACTACAGAAAAACTTGGAATATTTGGATAAAGGTATTTCTATTGTCGAGCAAGATCACTTCAAATTTAAAGAACAATATGAAAAATTAATGACTCAATTAAATGAATTATTAGAGCAAAAAGAAGTTCTGCAATGTCAAATCAAACAGCAGCGAGAACTCAACAACAAATCGAATGCGACAAAAGATACCGAACTAGAACAGAAAACTCAAGAGATATCTCGGATGATTTCATCGCAATCTAAATTAGATTTGGAAACCAGATTAATGCAGGAGAAACTTCAGATAGTTACCGGAAATTTGGATGAGGCCAGAAAGAAGGAAGCCTTGCGAAATGAAGCAAATGAAAGCAGGAACGTTGATGATGTCCGAAAGGCCGAAGAAAATGTCCTGCACGCGCAAGATAAAATACGTGAACTAGAGGGAATTAAACAGGCAACGCTAATAGAGCTAGAAGACCGTAATAAGAACATCTCTAATCTTAGAGAACAACTAAAAACTATGGAAAATAATCATACCACATCTTACAAGGAGATGCAAGGCATTATTACTGAATTACAAGGCAAGGTTGCCGAGGCGGAATCGCGAATCATGTCTCTCACTCAAGAGCTAGCACTTGCAGAAGAGGCAAGACAAGAAATTAGTACAATTATCGATAAAAAAGACTCCTTACTTGCCCAAAAAGACGAAGAAATTAAAGAAAAAAATATCTCTCTGGTCCAGAAAGATACTCAGCTAATGGAGATATCATCTCAAAAAGCTAGGGCTGATGAATTATTAGCTCGAAAAGACAATGAAATTGAGGAAGTGCTGGCTGGAAATTCTAAAGAAATTGACAAGCTATCAGCTCAAAAAGACGAGGAAATCAACGAAACATTATCAAAAAGATCTAGAGACATGGACGAATTATTGGCTAGAAAAGATAGAGAGATAGATGAAGCACAGATGGACATCGCTCGGTTGCAGACTGAAGTAACGATTGCTAAAGCTGAGCTGGAAGGCGCCTATGGATCACGCTCGCAACGTGCGGCCCAAGTAGCGGCAAATCCTTTAATCCAAAAAGAGATTGATAGCCTTCTCAATACTAACAATGAACTTGTTTCTGAGATTGCAACACTCAGAGCTCAAGTCCTAGAGGCTGGGATAAATAATAAAGAGATAGTTGAGTTAAAAGCTCAGATTGATAGCCTTATTGGTGACAACAAGAAACTCGTTGAAGAAGTTGTTGCCCTTCAAAACCAAGGATTAGGAACTGAAACAGATGATAAAGGAAAATTGGAGGAACTCAAAAAAGAGCTAGCTGACGTTCTAGAAGAATACGAGACCATGACAAAAGCAAGCATCGAATGGGAGAAAGAACGCGAGCAATTTGAGAGAACAATCGACAAGTTATGGGATACCAAGCTAGAAGTTGAAGCACAACTCAATGATGAGAAGGTCCGGTGGCTTGGAATGCGAAGTCCTGGTATAAGTGCTAGTGCAGAGGGGCTATCTCCCGCTAATACCAGTACTACCGTGCTTAAAAATGAATTCAAAAGGATGATGCGCGATACCCGAGATGAAAATGCAAAGATTTTGAGGGTTTGTAATATCAATTACTTAGTTGGACTACACTAACACTACCCAGGCTGAACAAGCTGAACGTCGGCGACTTGAAGAAGAACTGCGGGCTTTAAGAAGAATGCAAGGATTCGGAAGATCTGGATCAAGCCAGGGTTTTCTTAGCCCGGTATGAGTATGAAATATCAATTATTTTTAACAAGGGTAATTGTAAACGAATATTGGATTAAGGACAAGACGATAAATTTTACTAGATGTATTAGTTTTCGTATTATTGAATCCGATAATTGTGTGGGAACTAATTTTTGTAAGTTCAGGATATCTAATATTCAACTACTGGCGGTCTCAAGTGCTGAGAATTCCTGCTATAATGGGCGTTGATCAGAGACTAAACCAGGCGAGTATTGGACTAGTAAACATAGGCTTGCTTGGAGTGCTCTAAATTTAACTTTTCCAAAAAAATTTACACCCTCAAATATACTTGGTCTATTGTGATGATTACAGGGTTTTCACGAGCTTTTTGCCCATTATGATATAGAAACTTTAAGATTCTAACGTTTTGGAGAGCTCACGAAGAATGTTTACATATGAAATATAAATCAATAGGGCTACAGTAGAGCAAATAATGTTATTTAATTAACTGTATCTATTTTTACCAAGGCTGAAGTTAACATAAATTAGGTGGTGAAAAAACTTATTACCTCCTGCTTCCCACTTAGGCCGTTAACTGTTATATTCAGCTCTATGGTATGGTAGATTTAGTAGCGGATGCGTGGGTAGTTATTATGGCGGTATGGCTTAATAGCGCATGTAAGAGACCCAGTCTATGTGTAATGGCATTACATATAGTACTGAGTGCAGTATGAGAGATGAATTGTTGATATAGGACAAATGGCATAGATGCTCAGTTGGAAGCACACTTTGATACGCTGCACACTGGTTACGTGATCGTACTACAGGCGAATTAGCTAGGCGATGAGACAAGACCTTCCCCCCATGTGTAACAAAAAAAGTAACATAGTAACCTCAATTCTGCATATCAATTAAGATATACATTCATAAGGTATCTAAGCTGTTCCAATGCAAATGTACATTCCCATATTATAGAACGCTTCTGATAACCCTGTTACTCGATCAGGTACACACTAATTCAAGACTTTTCTGACATTTCAGGGCGACCTGCGGGAAGGGGTTGGAAGGAGGCTAGAAAGGTAGAGTGTCAATTCATCGAGTTACACACAAGTCTGTGGTGCCCAGCTTGCCGGCCTCTTCTAACGCTTCAGAAATATCACTTTGTCTTCGGATTTAGTCTTAATGTCGGTCTTAGAAGAGCTCCGCACCCAGTGGTTTTTGCGATTTTCCCCGGCTGCCTTACACCCGCATATGGCCATCATTTTGTTGGCTGGAGAGGGGATATAGTGAAGTGCAAAGGGCTCCTCTAAGTGTGTGATCGAATGAAGGCTTGTGAGTAGTGGTACTAATTGAGAGGAGCTGCATGGGAGGCATAGGAGGAGATATACTACTGACATAGTATCCTTGGCCTGAAGGTAGGGAGAACCTGTAGGTCCTACATAGTCACAGACTCAGACATGACAATAAAATGAAAAAACTCGGTGAGGTTGGTATCATCGCCTTCCAGACCTCCACAACAAGATAAAGGGCGCAGTAAGTACCAATCTACTCGTCAAGGGTTCCTGTTAGCACGGATTAATTTTCTATCAGATAATGGTTGGTCACAAGGTTCTTGATTGCCTATCTAAGTTATCTGTAGAGAGTTATCCGGTCTAGGTGCCGAGGCCCTAGTGCGATCAACACCCGTACGTGAAAGCATACACTTCAGACCAATCAGAGTAATCCAGACAGTTTTACAGAAATATTACTCTTTTCTCAATGAACTGAATCTACAAGGTATGACAAATAGGAAGGTGGTAATGTGAAAGTGTATTGAAGGGTGTATATGATTCGAGAGTAATGGGAAGATAAACTGGCATCTACAGAATGTTAGCATCTATTCTGCTACATATTCTACCATCCTATCCGATCCATTTGACTCTATGCTTAGAATAAAATAAAATTAAAGTCCCTACTGAGTCTGTGACTATGAGGGCCAGCAAAGACGAAGTATTCAATTCTCGGTGGTGCCGGTGTAATCGCTCAGCATGCTTTGCATATGTGGGACAGTCAAGAAGAATTGTATACGAATCAAAGTCAAAAACAACTACAAGCTTATCTAAAATCAACAACTTCTAGTCGATGTCGGACCTATCATTATCACGCGATTCCTCCACCCCAATCTTGCTACACCACCTCGCCTCAAATACCGATAATAGCGTTACTACAATTGCAATCGAGCATTTGCCTCGTCAAGAATCGGCCATCTCTCAATACAAAATTACGATGATATGTATACCCGTGAGGAAAATATTAAGTCATAATCTGCAAAGCCCGGGTCTTAGTCTATGGGGGACTGTTGCTCTAATAGGGCTTCATACCTTGAGGGAAGACAGGCAGCTGGGACGTGGGACGAACGAGAGAGGAGGTTACAAATGGGCATGTTTGGACGCACAAATTAAGGGTTTATTCGACTTAAAGGTGTCACTGGGCGTAGAGGCAACGATTTTAGACAGCGCCGCCGACACATTAAAAAGCAGGCAACGATGGAAGGTGTTGTGGTCCGCCTACTGTTCTTCATATCCTAAGTTAGAGTTTGTGTAGCCTGAACACCCATCTCACTCGAGAATGGGAGGACTGTGTGGCCACATCTCGTACGGCGGCTTTATACAAGATGACAACGGCATATTAGGGCAGCCAAAGATCTTTCCTCTGTCCTCTTTGTTGAATATTAACGATCGAGGGAAGGGTGAGAGACCCTGGCACCAAGGTCTCGAGTGGTATCAGCGAATGCACCTACTACATGAGTAGTCCAAATATCAAACTAGGTTTTTTTTTGCATCAGATTTGGATTGCGTATGCAGCTATCTAGCTATGACACAATATCAAAGAAAAGTACAGAATAGATGATTCATCGTTAAGGAAGAGCACTCATGCCTCAGATTTAATTTGCAAGTACCACTGCGAAGTTATGGTAGCTTTTTCTTCACCCCAAGTCAACCCTCATCCGTGAATACCTACCCAGGGAAACGTCTCAGAAACCCTGAGTTATCCATACATGCCTCCATCATCTTTCAACTTTTCTCCGCGCGAAATATGGTCTGAGATATCTCCTTCCCAAGTGGAGTAGGTGCCCAGGCTACTCAAACCATACCGGAGAGCACCGCCAGGAGGCGGACCACAACACCTTCCATCGTCTGCTTGTTTTTATAGTGTGAGCTGCACTCTCGCAGGCGAAGTCTTGGCGCGCACAAAGCTCAATTCGTGAAACTCTCTGCCAAAATTCAGAATTTCGTGCCCGTCGAGGATGTATCCATCTTCTGCATCATCTTATCAACTTGTCCTGATCCCTCTCACGTCCATCCCGAAGAGCTGTCTCCCAGATTTGTGCGCCACGCTTTGCTTCCTCCATCGGGAGTAAATATCGGCGTGGGCGTTTATTTGGTGGTAAGTGGTGGCCAGAGAAGGTCGAAGAGAGGTGAGATCATTGGGATGAGGATGTACTTGGTCGCACTTGTAGACTTGATTGGACTTAGGTAGGAGTCAAACTTGTTGGGAGCGGAAAAACGACGCGGAGGAGTAATTTGAATCATTGCCTCGTGAGCCAACTTCTTTGATACTGCGAAATTGGACTGAACTTGGCTCTGGGAGAAAATTTCACTCCCAGATTCGTAGAGGACACCGCGTACAGGTGTTCAGTCTTGCCCTCCATCAAACTGAGTTATTGTCATATATAGTCATCGGGGGTTGTATGGTGCAGCGGTACACCATCCGGGCCGTTCTCCCAAGTAGTGTCAGGGGAAGGTCATGAAGTAGATTGACGAGGTCTAATCTGGTGATTGAGATTGTCTACAAAGAAGAAGGTGACTCCTATTGAGTCCTGTAAAAATATATACATCGTGAATCGCGTATCAGACGCGTTATATCACGTGACATTAACTTCCCTCAATCCACTCTATCCCTTGACATACGGTCCCTTCTCACTCCGAATGTCTTAGATCTTGGGCGTAATTTGCGTTACGGATATCTTAGCTTGCCTTTTCGCTGCCTCAATCCCTCGCGGTGATGGCTTGAGTTTATGTGGGAAGCGCTGTTCAAATTCTTTAATGGATGATTTTGCATTTACAACGTTCTTGAGAGGTTCCCATGTTTGGTCTTCTGAATCGTAACCTCTCCACAATATCAAATACTAAAAATTCTTTCTATTCTTGCTACGCTTAGAATCTAAGATAGCTTCGATGGCATATAACTTTTCGCCTGACTCATCAAGGGCAATAGGTGGTGATGGGGGCTTGGTCTGGCCTGGTAAGGGGTTTGCAGGTGCCGGTCTGAGCAAACTTGTGTGAAAAACATCATGCATATTTTTAAACTCGAAAGGAAGCTGTAATTTAGATGCATGAGAATTAATAATTTTAAAACCTTGAAAGGTCCTATAAATTTACAATCTAGCTTCGAGATTGGTTGGGAAGTCGTGATATTGCGGGCATCTAGAAAAACTTCGTCACCAACTCGATAAGCTGGTGCTGGTGCTGGTGCTGGTGATCGGTTTGCACTAGATGCACTTTCTTGCCTATCTCTGGAGTGCGTAAGGTTTGCAAGCAGTACGTCGAGGACTTCTGCCATTTTAGAAGCGAAGTCAGTACCCGCTGATATCTGTTTCCTAAGACTTTTTGAAGAATTCCTCTCAACTGTTCGCGGAGGACTAAAACTCATACGTGGATGAAACCCTTTATTTGCAAAAAATGGAGTGACTTTGGTAGATGCGTTAACTGCATTATTCGCAGCGAATTCAGCCATTGGTAACCATTCGTAGACTTACTCTTGAGAATAATCTATGTATTGTCTGAGATATTTTTCCATAAAGGCATTTTCTGTCTATCCATCAGTCTCAGGATGGTAAGCTGTAGAAAGTGATAAATTGATCTACAAACAATTATAAACCGCTTTCCAAAATTCTGCAACAAAAAGCGGACCTCTGTCGGAGACTATAGAGTCACATAGTCCATGAAGTCGCCAAATATCACGGACAAAAAGTCTAGCTAGGTCCTTTGCATTCATCTTTGT